CGGGTGCTTGCTGGTGAACATAACATGATTTACAGAACTCTCCACAATTTGTGCCCACTCCCATGGGGTCATCCACCTGCCTCTTCTCCTGACTTCTATGTTTCTGATCTTCACATCTTCCTTCTTGCTGACCTCTGACCAGTAAGTCAAGCCAGTCACCACCGCCTGTGATGCATGGATATTCTGACTTCAAGAAGCCACTTCTCTTTCCACAGGAAGTGGATGGCCAGGTGCCCTGCCCAAAGCCCTGCCCCCTGGGAGGACTTGCCCTCACCACTGTCTCTCCAGGATACCTTTGAGCAGGCTATAGTTCAGTCACTGACCAGTTTTCACTTTCAAACTCCAAGCCAACTCATTCTGCAACCAACCTTGGGCATTTTCCTCCATCGCCAGAAAGTCATCAGGGACCCAGCCATGTGGCCACAGTGTAAGCTGAGGGATGGGCCCTTGTGCACCAGCCGGGGGGTGACATGAGGGTCTGGGCCACTTATCCCCAAAACCTACTAGAGCCCTCTGGCTCTGCTCACACCTGCTCCTGTACCGAGACCAGCTCAGCCATAGAGACCCCAACCCAGGTGGTGCCAAAGGAATTAAGAAACAGACACAGCTCAGTGGGACTATCAGGGGCCGTCGGCCCTCCGCTTCCCGGCCGAGAGTCTCAAGCAGACCCTGACCCACGTACGTATTATCTCTGAACAGGTGATTATTATTAACAAACAGGTGTCCTGTGTTTTCTCAAACAAAAATAAACCAGGCAGACAGCTGATGCCTGCCTACCACTGATTAAAGACAAACTAGAAAGTATTCTCCAGGCCGGGCACGGTGGCTCACACCTGTAATCCCAGCACTTTGGGAGGCTGAAGCGGGCGGATCATGAGGTCAGGAGTTCAAGACCAGACTGGCCAACATGGGGAAATCCCGTCTCTACTAAAAAATACAAAAATTAGCAGGGCATGGTGGCTCATGCCTGTAATCCTAGCTACTTGGGAGGTTGAGGTAGGAGAATTGCTTGAACCAGGACCCTGGAGGCGGGGGTTGTGGGGAGCCGAGATTGCGCAGCTGCACTCCAGCCTGGGCTACAAAGTAAGACTCCATCTCAAAAGAGAAAGAAAGAAACAAAGTATTCTTCAGGAGGAAGCCACGGGGGGGGGGGGGGGGGGGGGGGGGGCAGGGTCACATACATATCCTGCTCTTAACGAATTGTTTGAACTGCTGTGTAATTTACATATACTGTTTGCTGCTTTGAAATGCCCGGAGCAGTTTTCCGCTTGGAGGGCCGGCTTGGTTTTCCTTGCAGCGGTTCTCAGCAAACAATATAATTTATCATACACATTAGGGCTTGTCCCACACTCCTGGATGTACCACTTTCAAAGGACTACTTTGCGCTTGCTTGACCTTCTGCCTTAGTGGGTCAGATGCACCCATGTGGGCTACTTAGTTACGCGATGTTCCGTGGGCTGGCACTCTATCTCTACCAGGACCCAGTGCCATTCCAGGAACTGTTTTGTGCATAATATGTAATTCTCTGCTGCAGGTGGCCTGGCCTTCTTGCATAACCCTTGGGGGTCTACACTGCTTTCTCCCATTGGGACCCACCATAAATTGCACATGGAGTCTTTCCCATCCCTGATACTGCTAATACCCCATAGGGTCCACCAGGTGGCACGGCCCAAGCAGGCCCTCGTACCATGGTACACACCTGCTGCAGATCCTTTCCGGCAGTGGATCTCACAGCTGGCAGCCCTGCATGTCACTCAGTGAGGGGGTGGTAGTGGCTTCCCCAGGGCTAGAATAGGCTGCCTCAGAGCTCACATACCCACCAGGTGATTATATTTCCTGCTAAGCAGTGGAAGACACAATAGGAAAACATTGTTCTTGACTTTGGAGGAGCTGTCCCGGAAAGGATGGCACCATCTGAAAGCTTCGCTAATGCAGCAAGTCCCCGAATCATTGTCGGTCTCCTCTCCCACTATCTGACCCAGGCCTCTTCTATCACATCTGGTTCAGTTAATACACTGTCACCATACGGTGAGCCACTGTGGATCCTGGTTCAGGATTCTTTGGGCTATGTTATGAGAGCAGGCAGGAGGGTTCCTATAGCTCCGGGGGCCAGGCCTGGAAAAGGGTCCAGCTGTCCACCCCATGTGGATGCCAGCTGTTCCTGGTCCTCCTTCCCAATGATCCTCCTTCCCTTTGCAGGGCCACGTTCCTCTGCTCTGGCAGACACCACATCTGGCCGGGCAGCTGCAGCTGGGGCTTCCTCAGTTGGTTTGTAGTTGTCTGCGGCCATCCTCCCGACTGGAGAAGTGCTTGGGAATGGGGTGAGGGCCATTGCTCCTGCATCCTTTAGGTCCCAAGCATGGCACTCACACCTGCCTTTCCCCTCAGGGTATCTCTTAGCTGTGGGGATGATGCATCAGCTTCATAGATTTCCCAATAGCTATTCCCACTACAAGGATCCTGACCCCGTGAGCCAAGGTACCAGTATGGAGTCAAGTACCAAGGACGTCCATTCCAATTCTATGTCTGAAGACCAGGAAACTGGCCACCAAGCAAGCAGACCCCTAGTGAGCCAGACCTGGCCAGGGCTTCACTTACCACCTGGTCTCTACGTACCCCCTACTCAAAGGTGCCCTTGAGGACACTTAAGTCTTGAGCGCTGCTGTCAACTTGGATTCTGTGTCCAACAGGCCTCAGGATGTTTGGATATTCCCCTTTCCCCAGTGTACAGTTACCGGAGTGAATGGCCACAGGTGTTTCTAGGGAAGAACCAGGGAGCCATTGCCATAGACACTTGCCACAACGTTGTAGGACTCTTCCTTCGGGACCCAGCCTCTCTTTCAGTCCTGAGTTTCTGGATCTGAAAACGGAGGCACATCCTGAAACCAGGCAACGGATCTTGACTTTTTATCACAGTGGCTGCCCGTGGTCGGGGGAACTCCCGGGTGAGGCAGCACGCATCGGCTGAGGCTAGTGCCTGGGAAGGACTCAGCTGTGAGCGATCAGCAGGCTTCACTCCCACCAGCTGGGGTGATGGCACCTTGGTCCTGACGAGGAGAGCCGGATGCACACGGCACCCACTGTATGCATGTTTGACTCAGGATGTGTTGGATTCTTGCTGGGTGTTTGAGAAAGTCTAGCTCTTTTCTTCCTGACAGCTGCCCTCTGAGGTAAGGGTTATGGTCCATGCTTCGCAGATGAGGATGCCGTATTAGGTATGTCTCTGGTTTAGCTGCTTAGACACTCAGAATAATAGCGACCGAAACAGTCTCAAAACTGATTTCTCTCTCACTGAGAAGTCCAAGCGGACCGGTGGTCCAGGTGAATGTGATGAGTCTTCTCCGCACCACTGCCTGGGGACCTGGGCTCCATCCAGCCTGGTGCCCTGCCATCTCAGCACGGGCTTTCATCTCAACATCCATGACAGCTGCTTAGTCACGAGAGGGAGAAGCTGGGAAAGGGAGCGCTCAACATTCCCTCTGCACTCATTTGGGGGAAATGATGTCTATCTTTGTAAAACCCTTGAATAAAACGTGGCCAGACACTTCCTGATGCTGGAACTTGAAGGTCAGCGAGGATTTCGGCAGGCAGGAGAAGGTGTTCCAGAGTATGGGAGCTGCCTGGGCAAACATGGAGAAGTGGGACTGAGTCCTAGGTGGCTCTGGGGCAGGAAGGAGCTGGGAGGCTGGTCTGGCAGGCTCTTGTTGGGAATGGCAGGGAGTAAGGCTGGCTGCCAAGGCTGGAGAGGTTGTGGAGGCCCCAGGCTCAGGATGAGGACTCTCTCTGAGTAATAGGGAGGACATGTTACTCAAAGAAGGAGAGTGTTGTGACTGAAACAGAAGCCACCATGGAGCATGGAGATGGGACAGCTGACCCAGTTGTGGGCATCATCATAGCACTTGCATAGATTGCCAGCACACACAAGTCTTCTTTTTTCTCTTGGGTTGGAGCCTTACTCTGACACATTGCTGGAGTGCAATGGTGCAATCTCAGCACACCGCAACCTCCGCCTCCTGGGTTCAAGTGATTCTCCTGCCTCAGTCTCCCGAGTAGCTGGGACTACAGGCACGCGCCACCACACCCGGCTAATTTTTTTATATTTTTAGTAGAGATGGAGTTTCACCATGTTGGCCAGGATGGTCTGGATCTCTTGACCTTGTGATCCACCCACCTCCGCCTCCCAAAGTGCTGGGATTACAGGCGTGAGCCACCGCGCCTGGCCCAAGTTTTACTTAATTCATTTCCAGGTGGAGATGAAAGAACACAGGCTTTGGAGTCAGCCCAATCCAAGGTCCCATTCTGGCTCAGTAACCTTTTCCCTGTGGGACCTTGATTGAGTCACCTCATCTCTCTGAGCCTCAGTATCTGGGGGCAGGGACTATAGAATGTCCCCCAAATCCGGCCTCCCCATTGTACATAGTAAGGGCAACAGGACTACCCGGTTACAGGCTCATTTCCCAGCCTCCCTTGCAGCTAGATGTGGCCACGTGACTACATTCTGGCCAATGGGATGTGAGGAAAATGCTATGCTTCTTCTCGGTTTTTTCAAATAAATAGGTGAATAAATAAAGAGCCCGTGAGCTATCGGAGGAGGAGATTCAAGATCCAGGGAAGGATGCATGCCGTTCAGCGAGTGTTTAACTGAGTGCTTCTGACATGTCAGCCTCTTTCTAGGTGCTGGGGACACAGCAGTGAGCAAAAGAATAGAACAGCTGAACTCTCATGGAGCCAAAAGTCTAATGGGAGAGACAGAAAAGATACAAGGAAACAAGATGCTTTCATGGGGTGCAGAGGTGGGAGGGGGTTGTGTCTACACAAGGGGGTGGGAGAAACACGAAGCAGGGCAGGACGGGAGGGAGCAGGGCTGCTTTAGAAAGACATTTGGGGAGGCCTCCTGGAGGAGGCAGGCTTCAGTGAGGAGGACAATTCCTGAGCTTCTGGAGGGAAGGGGGCCCTGAGGTAGGGAGGGCGAGGGGGTGAAGCCGGTTCTCTCTCTGCAGAGCCCGCGGAGCTGAGCAGCGGGGAGGCGGAAGAGTTGCAGAGGATCAAGTGGCACCGGAAGCAGCTCCTGGAGGACATCCAGGTGAGCGCACACTCGCGTCCATGACCACCCGCATGCTTGCACGCACCCCACCAGCTCCTGACCCAGCCTGGTCAGACAGTGTGGCCAACTCTGGCCCATATCAGCCTTGGCCCCAGCCCCAGGAGCAGCATCTGTGGGCATGCCATGTCAGCGTCCTCTTCTCTAAAGCCCAGGGGAATTGCAAAGTCCCTGAAACCAGGGCCTCTGCTGCCTATGCGTGGTATCCCCGTAGTACCTGGCACACAGTGGGCACTTAGTCCAGGGTGAGCAACAGATTAAATAAAGGGAAGCCAGAGAGAAGCTGGGGAAGAAACTGAGGAGGCAGTAGGGAGCCATGGGAGGGATTTGAGCCGGGGAAGGGCAGGCTCCATACAGTGCTACAGAAACACACCAGCAGAGGGAGGCAGGCAGCAGGGAGGAGGGCAGGGGGAGGCGGGCAGCGGGAGGCCAGCTTTTCGGATAGGCTCGGCTAGAGGGCAGGAGACTTCATGGCTGCTGAGCAGAGAGCTGGGAAGATTGGAAATAGGTTGGGCAAGGGGTGGGGGCTTGGGAACTCCCACCCCCCAAAACAAGCGGAGGCATGGGTGCAGACAGAGGGGACAGTTAAACATAGGATTTTGAGATTATGCAACATCCAGGGAGGGGAACTGTCAATGGAGGGTCTCTCAGATTTGGGTCTCAGGGCAGAGGTCAGGGAGAGTCCAGGTTTGAGAGTCATACCCAGGGGTTGGAGGGGTCATTGTGATCTTAAACCCCCCGGGTTCTGGCCTCCACCCCTGACTTTCTCTGTCCTGCCCCCTGCCGCCCCACAGAAGCTAAAGGATGAGATCGCAGATGTGTTTGCCCAGATCGACTGCTTCGAGAGTGCAGAGGAGAGGTGAGGGGCCTGGGTGGGGATCCCCAGAAGCTGCCACGGTTGCTTCCCAGGGATGTCATACGCCTTGAACAAGCAGGGGCATGGCCGGTCCCCGGGGCCTGGCGAAATCAGGGATTGGCCCTGACGAAGGAGGTAGCAACAACGAGATAGGAAGAGGGCAGCCCCAGCCCCACCCGGGTCTGGCCGAGTCCCTGCTTCCAGGCTGACCCTCTCTTGAGAGACACTGCATTCCTCCCCTCCCCCACCCAAAGTCTCTCCTGACCCATCACTGGCCACGTCCATCCTGGGATGGGTGGGGAGGAGGGAAGCTCAGCCCCAAAGGGCTAGGACCAGGAAGCCCAGGGCTCCTGGAGTACAGGAGCCTGGCCCCATCCCACCCCACTACCACTGACCGGGGCCAGCCACCTGCACCGCCTCTATGGAAAACTCCCACTGTTTTCTGTTTTGTTTTGTTTTTTGTTTTTGTTTTGAGATGGAGACTTGTTCTGTTGCCCAGGCTGGAGTGCAGTGGCACATCTCAGCTCACTGCAACCTCTACCTCCCGGGTTCAAGCGACTCTCCTGCCTTAGCCTCCTGAATAGCTGGGATTACAGACACACACCACCACGCCTGGCTAATTTTTGTATTTTTATTATTTTTAGTAGAGATAGGATTTCATCATGTTGGTCAGGCTGATCTCGAACTCCTGACCTCATGATCCACCCACCTCGGCCTCCCAAAGTTCTGGGATTACAAGTGTGAGCCACCGCGCCCAGCCAAAAAATTCCCACTGTTTTGTGACCTGGGAAACATCCTGTCGCTCTCTGGGTCTCAGTTTCCTCATTTATGCAACAAGAAGGTTAGGGCTGCTACATAGTCCCCTAGGGCCCCAGGGCACTGACTGACGTTCGATGTCCTGGGAATTCCGCATCCTGCTCCTGCCAGCCCTTAGGTCTCTGCCTGTCCACGCCTGTCCAGCCTTCTCTCCTCCCCCACCACACCCACGCGCACTCGCACATGTGCACACACACACAAGTAGCCGTTTCTCCAGCTCCCCTATCCCAGCCACACCATAACAATATAACACACCTCCACCTCGATGTTTAGGTGCTTCAACCTCTCAACAATGCTGGCAGGCAGGTGGTGGTGTCACCTCCATTTTACATATGGGGAAACCGAGGCCCAGAGAGAGGGGGTGACTCGCCCAAAGCTGCTCAGCTCAGCTTCACATCCAGGAGCCTGGCTCCAGCACCCACACACTCAGCCCTTGCTCCCTGTCCCCGTTTTCTTGCACAGGGCCCCCCCACAGTCTCCCGCACGGCAGCTCCGGGGCCCCGAGAGCGGCTAAATGCTCGTGCTGGGCGTGGCGGGGGGGGGGGGGGCACTGCGGAGCTCTGGGAGGAGCCCAGGCCTTGCACTTCTCTCTCCTGCCCAGGTGGTTCCCATGCAGGGCCTGGGGATCCCACTTGGAGGTCCCTAGAGAATATGGGCTCCCTCGGAGGCAAGTGTCCTTGGGGAGTGGAGAGGGTAATTCAGGGTCCTGAGGCGGCGAGGCTGACGTCCTCATGTCCACAGCCGGATGGCCCAGAAGGAGAAGGATCTGTGCATCGGTCGCAAGAAGTTCAACATGGAGCCCGCAAAGGTAGGTGGCTGTGGAGGGCCGGGCCGCAGGGTGCGGGGGCCGCGTGGGAACACCTTTCCGGTGTTCTCTCCCTCCCTCAGCTGACACATGACCACTTTCCAGAGGAGGAAGCTGGGCCTACCAGCGCTGAGCATCTTTTCCAGCACCCCATGGCCAGCTCCGGCTGGGGGCCCTGTCTACTCCAAGGCATAAGCGCCCTGGTGCAGAAAGTAGGAGCCAGGAGCCTTGTGGAGGCCATGATGTCACTGCACTTGGCCTAGTCCCATGATTTCCGCACACTTGGCCTAGTCCCTTCCCCACTCTGGGCCTCCATTTCCTTCTCCAAGAATGTGACTTGGGACAGTGAGGCCCTGGGATCCAGGGCTCAGGCTCCAGAAGCATCTTCCAGCCCTGGGCTGGGGGAGAGTCAGTCCTGTGGTCCTGCCACCCAGCCCTCTGCTGGTAGGGTCAGCGCTCAGGGCCAGGCCACCTCGCTCCCCCATACCACTCCCAACCCCCCTGGCCTCAGAGCAACCCCAGCCCCACCCCTCACCCCACCAGGTGGCAGCTGGGCATCCTTTCCTGAAAGGATGGAGACAGAAGGAAGCTGCAGGCAGACACACCGAGGTGGGGTCAGAGCAGCCAGCAGAGAGTGCCAAACTGGGGTCCCTGGAAATCTACTGCTCTGGCTTAGAAGGCGCTTGTCCTCATCACAGGCCCATTCACCTCTCACAGCCACGGACCCTTGGACTCCTGCTCCCATCCACAGGGACCCCCACAGGCTCACACACTCACCGAGCACCCGGGGGTGTCCTCTGTACCCTCTACCTGTCACTCGGCCCTCATGGGCTGTGCCTACCTTCCAGCAGTGGAATACAGAGGAATCTTCAAGTGGAACCAGAGACCAACCCCTCCAGCTCCTAAAACTAGGATGACAAACCCTGAGTTCGCGGGTGGTGAGGAGAGATGTTTGTGATATTGTCAGATCTGAGAAGCAGCTTTAAATGTGACAGGCGCAGTCTGAGCACATTCTCATATAGAAAGGGAAGGAAGGTCACCACAATGGAAGCTGTCTACCTCCCAGCGGTAGGGCCTAGGCAATTTCCTCCCCTTTTGATTGAGCTGTTTTTTTCTAACTTTTATACAATAGACATAGATGACTTGTGTGAAAGAATAAAACACTATTTTAAAATAATACGAGTTTTAGGGGAACAAAAGAAATGGCTGAATCATTGAATCTTAGAATTACAAATTCCTAGAATCACTGAAGCATATAATAAAAGAACGTCAGACTGGAGGGGACCCTGGGGAGTACCCAGCATGAAACCTGGCTCATGGCAGGAAAGCTGACTTTCTCGCACGCCTCCAGTGATGGGGAACTCACCACCTCACAAAGGCAGCTCCTGTGAAGGAGGGGTCACAACTTCCCAGAACAGACTGTGCCAACATCAGAATGCCAGGCCCCAGGGCTCTGGCCACGGGAGATTGTTCCTCCCTTCCCCCTCCCAGGCCGGCTTCTGTGCGGCAGCTGTTAACGGGTTCTGCCTGCCACTCCAGGGCATCCAGTATTTCATTGAGCATAAGCTGCTGACCCCCGACATCCAGGACATCGCTCGGTTCCTGTATAAAGGGGAGGGCCTCAACAAGACAGCCATCGGGACCTACCTGGGGGAGAGGTAAGAAGGTGTGAAGCTTTGGAGAGGCAGGAAATGGAGGTGTGAAGTGTGTACAGGTGTGGGATGTGCAGGTGAGAGAACGGGTTATGTTAGGAAAGGCATCACCCCTAGGGCTTGAGAGGCTCACGCATCATCCCCTCCAGATTCTCAGTGAAAGCCAGACCGACTTCATTCATTTGGTCATTTATCCAACAAATAAAGGCCGCCTAGGGTTTGCTGTGTTCCAGGCACCACCCTAAGCCCTGGGTGTACACCAGTGAATAAGACAGACAAAGCTCTCATCCTCAGGAGGTCCACACTAAAGGGAGAGACAGCTCTCAGTATATGCAAAATATCTTAGAAAATAAGCTCTATGGAATACAAATCAAGCAGGGGAGGGAAGTCAGAAATGCTGGGGATGGGCCAGGTGCAGTGGCTCACGTCTGTAATCCCAGCACTTTAGGAGACCGAGGCAGGCGAAGCACTTGAGGTCAGAGGTTTGAGACCAGTCTGGCCAACATGATGAAACCCCATCTCTACTAAAAATACAAAAATTAGCCAGTCTCATTACATTATAGGTGGCAGGCACCTATAGTCCCAGCTACTCGGAATGCTGAGGCTGTAGAATTGCTTGAACCCAGAAGGTGGAGGTTGCAATGAGGCAAGACTGTACCACTGCACACCAGCCTGGGTGGTAGAGTGAGACTCCATTGAAAGAAAGAGAGAGAGGGAGAGAGAGAGAGAAAGAGAGAAAGGAACGGAAAGAGGGAGGGATGGGGAGGGAGGGAGGAAGGAGAGAAAGAAAGAGAGACAGGAAGGAAGGGAGGGAGGGAGGCTGGAGGGGGCTGTGATTTAGAATCGTGTGGACAGAAAGGGTCTCACGGAGAAGGTGACATTTGACTGAAACGTCAAGGAGGTAAGGGAGTGAGCAGCGCAGATGTCTCGGGGGAGGAGCAAGTGCAAATGTCCTGGGGCTGAAACAGGTTCAAGAATCTAGACTGGATGGGAGGAGAGAGGGAGGATGTAGCAGGCGAGGAGGTGGGGATCTGCAGGAGAGCTCTAGGCAAAGGACTGGTCTGTGGGGTGGGCCAGGATATAGGGGTGAAGCTGGACCAGGGAGTCAACAGCACTCTCCCCAGCTCCGGAGGACACCTCCCTCCCAGAGTGAGCAGGGGATGGAGATGGCGAGAAGGTTGCCCTCCTGCTCCAGGAGATGGGGAGAGGGAGGATATAGGGGAGGCTGGCTTCTCTCCCTCCCCTGTCTCCTTAGATGAGGAAGCTGGGGATGGGGAGGTCAAGTGGCTTCAGCAAGGTCAGCAGGTGGGAAGTTACAGGAAATGAGGAAGGCCTGGACTGAGGCAAGGCCACTTCAGAGCCAGGGCTCCCCTCCCGGGCCAGCCCAGTGCTGGTGAGCCGTGAAGGTGTCTGCATGGGAGGACAAGGGTGTGTCCTCGGGGTGTGATATGGGTGGGACAGGCATGAACGCACCAGATGGCAGCTGCACCCCAGAGGGACAGATGTCTCTCTGCTCTCTGGGTGCCAGCAAGTACCCAAGTGTGTCACACCCTCCCTTCTACCCCTTCCCCAGGGACCCTGTCAACCTGCAGGTCCTCCAGGCCTTCGTGGACTGCCATGAGTTCGCCAATCTCAACCTCGTCCAGGCCCTCAGGTGAGTGGTCCAAGGGTGGGGTCCCAGCCCTCAAGGGTGGCACAGCCCCAGTGGCTGGGGTTGTCGAGATCCACACAGCTAACAGCACCAAGGGTTGGGAGCAAAGAGGAGGAGGCAAGGGACAAAAATGAGTTCATGATGGTGCTGCCTCACAGAGCTGAGGGGGACCGCCTGGAAAAGGCCCTGGTGCCCTGCAAACACTGCCTTCCTACTATGCTGGGGTCCTGCCACACCGTGTTTAATTATTCTAATCTTTATTACTATATTACCGTCATTCTACTTTTTGGATTCGTGCATGTTTTTTTGTTTTTTATTTTATTTTATTTTTTGAGACCAAGTCTCACTCTGTCGCCAGGCCAGAGTGCAATGGCATGATCTCGGCTCACCATAACTTCCGCCTCCCGGGTTCTAGCGATTCTTCTGCCTCAGCCTCCCAAGTAGGTGGATTACAGGCATGCACCATCACACCCAGCTAATTTTTTGTATTTTAGTAGAGACAGGGTTTTGCCATGTTGGCTAGGCTGGTCTTGAACTCCTGACCTTGTGATCTACCCACCTTGGCCTCCCAAAGGGCTAGGATTACAGGTGTGAGGCACTGTGCCCAGCCTAATGCATGTTTAGTTTATTTCACAAGACTACTTAGTATGTATTCCGTTTATTACTATTATTATTACTTATTAGTTCCTAATTGGGGTACTGTTGCTACCCATTTTTTTGTTGTTGTTGACACAGAGTCCCGTTCTGTCACCAGGCTAAACTGTGGTGGCGTGATCTTGGCTCGCTGCAACCTCTGCCTTCTGGGTTCAAGCGATTCTCCTGCCTCAGCCTCCCATGTAGCTGGGACTACAGGCGCGCACCACCATGCCCAGCTAATGTTTGTATTTTTAGTAGAGACGGGGTTTCACCACGTTGGCCAGGATGGTCTCATTCTCTTGACCTCCTGAACTGCCCACTTTGGCCTGGCAGAGTGCTGGGATTACAGGTGTGAGCCGCCGCACCTGGCCGTTGCTACTCATTTTTACAGCTACAGAGACCGTACAATTATCAGCTTGAAGCACAAACTCTGGAGTCAAATCTCAGCTTTGCTACTCACCCCAGGGTGACCTTGAGCAAGCCACACACATGCACAAAATACAAAAATCAGCTGGGGGTGGTGGCGGGTACGTCATCCCAGCTACTCTGAAGGCTGAGACAGGAGAATCGCCTGAACCCAGGAGGTGGAGGTTGTAGTGAGCCGAGATCATACCACTGCACTCTAGTCTGGGCAACAGAATAAGACTGTCTCACAAAAAAATAAACCTCCCTGTGCCTCAGTTTCCTCATCCATAGAATGGGGATAATAATAGTGCCAACATCATTGGATTGTGAAGATTACATGAGAAAGTGTTTAGAACTGGTCCACAGTAAGTGCTTAGTAAGTCTTGTTGCTGCTCAGAAACTCATTCCAAGAAGGGGCATCTGATCTGGGCTTTGGAGGGTGAGTAGGAGTTTACAATACAGGGAAGAAAGAAGCCACCCCCATCCAGTGCTCTCTAACTCCCAGCTCTTTAAGGAAGAGGGGTAGGTAACTTGGGAGTCTCCTATCTTCATTCATTCATTTGCATATTCATTCACTCATACATATTTAGTGAGCCATTGCTAGGTGCCCAGGACTGTGTGAAGCCCAGGAGAAGCGAGAGATACAGGCACAGTTCTCACCCACAGAAAACTGAGCGTGAAGCTGTGGAAACTGCCAACTTCCAGAGCTAGAAGGAAGTTGAGGTTCCAAGAAAGGGAGGCCTAGCAAGGAAGGGGAAACCCCTGCCCCGCCCTCTCCTCAACTGGGTCCCACTGCCAGACCCCAGGGCCCAAAGGCCAGGTGCCGGGAGCCACAGAACCCGGGGCAGGCAGGCAGGCAGGCAGGGGCCCCTTTCCAGCTGAGGCAGGCTGGGCTGCAGTCAGCGATGGGATTCCAATGTACGGAGCAGGGGTGTGTGCTTCGTTCTGTATTCTGTAAGAAAAGGCTTTTCTTGGCTACCTCCCGAGGGCTTGGGACTCCCTGGTGCCAGTCCCACTTCCCAGTGAGTCCAGGTGACAGTTACAGATCCTCCCATTTACAGGATCCAGAGACTAAGCCTGGGAGAGTCGGGGCAGCTTGCCTGGGGCCCCTGAGAGACCCCCACCCACTCGCTGCCCGTGGCCCCATTTCTCTCCCAGGCAGTTCCTGTGGAGCTTCCGGCTACCGGGCGAGGCCCAGAAGATAGACCGGATGATGGAGGCCTTTGCTACTCGATACTGCCTCTGCAACCCGGGCGTCTTCCAGTCCACAGGTGCCAGGAGGGGAGCGGGACTCCGGGCTCTGGGACCCCTTCAGCACTGCCAGGCATACATTCCACAGACCCCCTCAGGCTTCCCCCGAGTACCCAGACCCTGGAAGCCTAGACCCCTTCAGTACCCTCACTGAGCACCAACTCCATTGCTGCTGGGTGCTTATCTGAGAGAGCTGCCTGGAGACACAGTTCTTAGGAGAGGAGGCAGGAGATGATGGCACAGGATGCTAAGGCTAAGGGAGCAGCACCCCTGTCTGAGGGCAGGCGTACGGGAATCAGCATGTCCAAGATGGCTTTTCAGAGGCAGTGAGTCCAGAATAGGGTTTTGAAGGATGAATAGGAGTTTTCCAGGAGGTTAAGGAGAGAAAGGGCCTTTTTGGCAGGAGTTGCAGTTAGAACAAAGGCCTAGAAGCATGAAACGGCCTGGGCAGGGTGTAGGGGGCAAAAGGTGCATAGAAGGAGATCCACAAAGGTCAGTCCTTCATACCTTTCTCTCCCAGGGCTAACACAATGCCCATGTGAAGACACCCAGAAGACAGGGTGGGTGAGGAGCCAGCATAGCCAACTTATCCCGGCCTCTTCTCTGGCTCTAGTTATTGTAACAATAACCAACCCTGTATGCAGAGTAATCCCCATGCCCTCCTTTTTATTTTTTTATTTTTTTAAGACAGAGTGTCTCTCTGTTGCCCAGGCTGGAATACAATGGCGTGATCTCAGCTCACTGCAACCTCCACCTCCCAGGTTCATGCAATTCTCCTGCCTCAGCCTCCCAAGTAGCTGGGATTACAGGCGCCCGCCACCGTGTCTGGCTAATATTTTGTATCTTTAGTAAAGGCAAAGTTTCGCCATGTTGGTCAGGCTGGTCTTGAACTCCTAACCTCCAGTGATCCTCCTGCCTCGGCCCCCCAAAGTGCTGGGATTACAGGCGCGAGCCACCACGCCCGGCCAAAGTCACTCAATCCTCACATCAACTGCTTGAGGTCAGTAGTCTCCTCATCCCTCCCTGACGCATGGAATATAGCTTCAGAGAGATGAAATGACTTGTTGGCCAGGCGCGGTGGCTCATGCCTGTAATCCTAGCACTTTGGGAGGCCGAGGTGGGCAGATCATGAGGTCAGTAGTTTGAGACGAGCCTGACCAACACATTGAAACCCCGTCTCTACAAAAAATACAAAAATGAGCCAGGTGTGGTGGCACGTACCTGTAATCCCAGTTACTCAGGAGGCTGAGGCAGGATAATCGCTTGAACCCGGGAGGCAGAGATTGCAGTGAGCTGAGATCCTGCCACTGCACTCCAGCCTGGGTGGCAGAGTGAGACTCCATCTCGTAAAAATAAATAAAATAAATAAATAAATAAATAAGAAAGAAAAGAAATGACTTGTCCTCAAGCACACCACCTCCTGGCTGTCCACGGACTAGCCCTCCAGAGCATTTGCTGTACTCAAGTTAGATCTTAATTTGGTGCTTGCTTGTTTATTATTTGTCACAAGTCTAAACTTCCTGTAAGGGCAGGGAACCTATCAGGCCGATCACCAATGACTCCCAGGCCCACAGCACAGAGTATGCACTCAATACATAGTTCTGGTAGGAAAGAAGGCATCTTAAAGACCAGATTTGAATCATTGTCCAATTACTTCTTAATTTTATGATGTTGGGCACATACAGCTTAACCTCCTGCACCTCGGTTTCCTCATCTGTAGAATGGGAGTGATAACAGGACCTGCCTCAGAGGATGGGCACGGGGGTGTGAGAGCCTAGCACAGGGCAAGCATCAACAATGCTCAGCGCGCTATCAGAGGTAGAATCATCGACGTTCTCCAACAGGCAGCTACTTCAAACACGAACCTCTGAACGTCAAGGATGGGGAAGCTGAAGGTCAGGGAGGTCAGGTACTTCCCAGGGTCAATCAGAGAGTGGGAGACGCAGCTGGGATCAGGGCCCAGTTACTCCACAAAAGACCCCACGGTGGTAACCTGGGGTAACCAGGAGGAGCCCAGCCTCCCTCCTGAGCACGTGAAAGTCTGAATAATGGGAGCTGCGCTGGGGCTCAGAAGCCCCACATGCCCGCAAGATCGCGGAGCAGCACATGGCTCAGCCCTGAACAGTGCTGCCAACAATGAGTGTTCCCCGAGTTCTGAGAGGCAGAGAACAGAGTGGGCAGGGGCTGGAAGGGCTCCTCGGGTAGGAGGCCTGGTGCCGTGGCTGAGCGAGGAGGATTGAAGCGGAGGGAAGGGAGGACAGGCCTGGCGGGGGGCCCAGCAGGAGCCACAGCTCGGGGGTGGGAAGGGGCTCAGAAAGAGAGACTGAGGTTCCTTTAAGGGGGGGGTGGGGACCAGCAAGAGTGGGATGGGTGGGCAGGCTGGGCCTCAAAGGTTAAGCCAGGAGGACAAGGTGGACCCTCAGGGCTTTGTGACAGCAGATTCTGAGCCCTAGAGGGGACCAGGGCAGAGGCGGGGAGAGTGACCAGGGCCAGGACTGTGACCACTGTCCCCTCCGCAGACACCTGCTACGTGCTGTCCTTCTCCATCATCATGCTCAACACCAGTCTCCACAACCCCAACGTCCGGGACAAGCCGCCTTTTGAGCGCTTTGTGTCCATGAATCGTGGCATCAACAATGGCAGCGACCTGCCAGAGGACCAGCTGCGGGTGAGAGGCACTGCTCACCCAGCCCAGCCTGGGCATCCAGAAGGGCGCATCCTTAGAGGGATGGCTGGGGAGGGGCTTCTCTGAGATAGACAGCCCCCAGTGGGAACTCGGCTGATACGGCCCACCCAGGCTGTGACTGTCTTGAGAGGCACCGTCACAAAGCAGGTTGGTCCTGAAACCCACCTGCCCACGAGAGGCCCCATCTTGAGGAAGATGTCCGAGATGGACCCAGGAGGTCCACCCAGACTTAAGCCTTTGGGAGACTCTGGGCAGCCATCATTCACATCTTCCCAAAAGGGTACCTCACACACCCAGGTTTATTTCTGAGAATAGAGATTCTTAGACTCTCAGCGTGTCAGGCCCGAAAACCCTCACACTCTGCTCTAAGCCCGCTGTCCTTTAGAGAGGAGGAACCTGAGGTCTTCCAGAGGCCCTGCTTGAGCTGGGGAGCCTGGCAGGAGCCAAGCCTCTGGCCCCTTTCTCAAATAGCTTGCACCCCGCTACACCACGCCAGGCTCTGCACCCAGCACAGGGCCCCAAGGATGAATCAGTCAACCACATACTGCCCTGACCAAGTTCGGGGTCTGGTGTGAGGACCATATACATGTGAATTACAAGCCGTGCTGACTGTGGGGATGGAGCTCTGGAGACACAGATCTGCCATCTCTGTGGCTGTCTTGCTCCGGAGGCAGGGGGAGGGTGCCATCCTGGAAGACTCCCCAGAGGAGGTAACTTCTGAACTGGGCCTTGAAGGTTACATGGGAGTGTTTCAAGAGGAGAAGTGGAGAAAGCACATTTCATAAAGTGTCCAGAACCGAGGTGTGTCCTGGTTGGGAAAGGAGAGGTGTCTTGTGTGGCCAAGGTGTGGCATATGTGGACAGTAGTGGGTGGCAGGTTGGGGCCAGCAGGCCCAGGGCTTCAAATGACAGCCTCAGGAGTTTGCCTGTTTCCTGTGGGCCACAGGGAGCCAGGGGGAATTCATAAGGACAGGAGGGAGAGATTGAGAGCCTGGCTTGGGAAAAGTGAATGGACAGGTTCACTTCAAGAACTGGAGACGCCCCAGAGCCCCATGAACTTCAATCCCCCCCCTCTGCCGGGAGAGCGGGAATAATAATACCTGTGTCCCAGATCTGCCACCACAGGGAGTATCTGATTTAAATGTTGGATGCCAGGTACATAATACCTGCCTCCTGCTCGGCTCCCCAGCTGAAGTAGGGGCTTGTGGCTTATGTCACTATTAAAAATAATTAATAATGATAAAAAAAACCCAGCGCTTAGTAAAATGCCTGAAACATAAAAGGCATATGAGCATTGGTGACTCATTTCTTGTGGGGTCCTCATGGCACAAGGCGGGCACGAGTTGTCTGGCAGGGAATGAGTTAATTACCTCCCAGCACTGGTCCTGCTTCTCCCCCAGGAGCTCCCTTATTACCTCCAGCTCCCAGTGAGTCCTCTCCAGCATCTGCCTCCTTACCTCTTTTTCCCAATTTAAGGCTTTTCTTAATAACAATGCACCACATTTGTATGGAACTTGTAAGTTTCTTCTCACCAGGCTTTGGGGTCTATTATCTCAATTTAGCTTCAAAATCTGCCCGGGGGGGTCTAGGAAGCCCTTATCCTCCTCTTTGGCAGCCCAGGACAGAGCGCCAGAGTCGAACCCCATCCCTCCCAGCTACCCCACTTTCTGATTGTGTGACCTTGGGAAAGTGGCTTGACCTCCCTGAGTTCCAGGTCATAGGATTAGTGCAGAAGGGTAAGGCAGTCAGCCAAGTGCTGCTGTGGTTGAAGGGGCTAATCCTGAAGCTTCCCGTGTCACAAAGGAACACACAGGCCGGACACAGAGGCCTGTAATCCCAGCACTTGGGAGGCCAAAGCAGGGAGATCACGAGGTCGGGAGTTTGAGAACATCCTGGTCAACATGGTGAAAGTCCGTCTCTACTAAAATACAAAAAGTTAGCCAGACGTGGTGGTGCGCACCTGTAGTCCCAGCTACTCGGGCGGCTGAGGCGGGGGAATCACTTGAATCGGTAGGTGGAGGTTGCAGTGAGCTGAGATTGTGCCATTGCACTCCAGCCTGGCGACAGATCAAGACTCTGTCTCAATAAGAAAAAAGAGACACACGGGCAGCATGTGGATTTGGGGATCCTCTTGCCTTCTGCCTGGGCCTCATTTTCCCCATTCGTAAAGCAGGGATCCAGCTTGAAGCACCTTTAGATTGTCAAAGGGCACCACTTGGCAGAAAGATTCTCCAGTTCGGACCTGTTAAGTGAGGACATGTAATGCTTTTAAGTGGCCCAATTTTCAAAATGAAATTTACAGACATATGACCCAAAGAGAGGTCACCCCAACGGTACACGGACCACGAAGATGCCTGGCTGGGAAAGGCTGTGGAGAGGTGCCCGGTGGCAGTCAGGGCACAGGAGGGTTCAGACGATCTTGCTCTGGGCATCCAGATGGGTCAAGGGCAGAGTCCCCAAGAGGCTCAGGGCAAAGGTGCAGTGTTCAGACTCACGGGATGGGAGGTAAACCCCAGCTCTGCCCTTATGTCTGTGTGACCTTGGACGTGAGCCCCAGCCTCCTCGTCTGCAAAGTGCGCTCATGATGCCGGCTTTATACCTTTTCTTTTTTTGAGGCAGGGTCTTATTCTGTTGCCCAGGCTGGAATGTGCAGTGGCGTGATCTCGGCTCACTGCAAACTCTGCCTCCTGGGTTCAAGTGATTATCCTGCCTCAGCCTCTTGTGTAGCTGAGATTACAGGCATTTTAGTATTTTTAGTAGAGACGGGGGTTTTTACAAGTTGGTCAGGCTGATCTCGAATTCCTGACCTCAGGTGATCTGCTGGCCTCAGCCTCCCAAAGTGCTGGGATTACAGGCATGAGCCACCGTGCCCGGCCTGGTTTCTCTCCTAAACAAGCTCTGCCCAGGTATGGCAGAGATGGCCCTGGCTTCCCGAGTTCTCACAGTCCTCCTCCTCAGCAGTTTCAGCTGAAGTCCCAGGATTAGGACTCATTGACTGGCTTGGGCCTCCTGGCCCTCCCTGCACTGCGGTTAGCAGGATGAAATGTGCTGATCAGCCAGATGTGAGTCATTCACCCCTTCCTGGAGCCTGGGGCTGGGGACCTGTGGGTGCCAACCCTGCTGAGTGATCTGGACAGAACACAGAGAAGCAGAGACTCCTTAGAGAAAAACTGAGGGTGTGGGGACAGGGGCACACAGAGCCAGGGGGGCCACTGGGAGGAGGAGGCCCTTGCGTTTCTGCACGTCCACCCCACCGGGAGAAGACAGTTGAGCCCCGGGGTTTGGTGGCAGTGGGTGCAGGGCATTTTTTTACAGGGAGGCTGGTGTATACAGGGGACAGGAAATGTGGGTGAACTCAGCCGTTTTCTTTGCGGGGGCAGAAGGTACAGGCTGATACAGTGACCGCAGAAGCTGCTGGGTCCCTCCCTGCCCACCCCCCTTGGGTTTTGTGGCAGTCGAGACCTCCTGTCTGCCCCTCTGCACGGCTCCTGGGGCCTTCCAAATATTTGTCTGTGCTGACAGCTTTGTTGATGGGGCCTTCCTGCTCCAGGTCCTTGTTCAACCAGCCAGTGCCAACTGGGAATTCCCAGGGATGCCTGTAGGGGCTCCCCAGAGAGAAACCCGGCCCGCTCTTCCTCACCTCCACAGCCCCACAGCCAGACTGAGCCCAGGGAAGTCACTCCCAGCCCACCCCTGACTCTGGACCCCTGAATTCTTGAGGTCAGAAAGGATCTTAAAGAACCAGACAGCCCCATTTCTAAAACTTTGAATCAAACTCATGAGAATTTTCATTTAAAATCTCGAAGAAAGCATCTGAGCAGCAACATGTGAGCAGCAAGCAGCACACACACACACAGCGAAAGGAAGTGATTTCATCCTCGGAGACAGCACCGCGTTTGCCTTTAAGCAGAAATATACAGTGTTTAGAATGGGTCTCCAAACACTTGGAAATCTCAGCAGATTGCTCACAGAACACAACATCTCATGGCAGGAGAGTCAAAGCACACAGGGGTGATCTGGTACCAGTGGTCACACCTTGCCCACAGGGACTTCCAGACCTGGCTTACTTCCCTCCAAGGACAGAAAGCTCATTACCCTACAAAGCTGCTCTCCCACATTTCACCAGCTCTTACTGCCAGAAAGGCTTCCATTGAGAACTGCAGTCTGCTTTCTGGGAACTCCCCAGGCCCCACCCCGGCCCATCCAGAACAGGTCTGCTTAGGAGAGGGGCTTTTGAGAGTCACAGCCAGCATCCCACCCTGGGCTCTCCCTCAGCTGGGCCCCTTAACATGAAGTGGCCAGTCATCCTCCCTGGTGGCTCCTCAGTGGCCCCTCCACCCAAGGTGTACCTTGTAGTCTCTGCTGCTGCACCTAAGCAGGAGAGGACCCTCCTCCCATAACCTTTGCCAAGGTTGCTATGCCCCAGAGACAGAGAGAGAGAGAATATGTGTGTGTGTATGTGTCTGTGTCTGTAAGCATGCATATGTGTAAGAATGCACAGAAACATGTGCATGTATATTGTATTTGCATTATGTATGAGTGCATGTATGTGTGTAAGCATGAGTGTGTGAGGGTGCATGTATAAGTGCATGTATTTGAGCATGAAAGCATGTGGGTACATGTATGTATGATCCTGCATGTATGTGTGCATGTGTGTATAAGCATCGTGTGAACATGTATGTGCATGTATGTGAGTCCATGCAGGTGTAAGTATATATGAGCATGCATGTGAGTGATGTATATGAATGTGCATGTATATAACTGTGCATGTGAGTGTGCCTGCATGTGTGAGTGTATGTGTGTGTGCGAGTGCATGCATGTCTGTGAGCATGCAGGTGTATGTGTGCATGTATGTATATAAGTGTGCATGTGTATGAGTGCATGTATGTGTGTAAGCATGAGTGTGTGAGGGTGCATGTATAAGTGCATGTATTTGAGCATGCAGGCATGTGGGTACATGTATGTGTGATCCTGCATGTATGTGTATAAGCATTGTGTAAACATGTATGTGCATATATGTGTGAGTGCGTGCAGGTGTAAGTATGAGCATGCATGTGAGTGTGCATTTATGTGAGCATGCATGTATATAAGTATGAGTGGGTACATGTGTGAGTGTATGTGTGTGTGTGCATGTGAGTGCATGCATGTGTGTGAGCATGCAGGTATATGTGTGCATGTATGTGAATGTGTGCATGTGGGAGCATGCATTTATATAAGCGTGCATGCGTGTGTGTGTAAGCATACATATTGGTATATGTGTGTGTTTGAGGGGCTGACCCCTGGTCCCTCTGCCGTGTAGTAGCACAGAGGGAAGCATGACGGGGGTGGCCGGTGGCAGGTGGCAGAGCCAGGCCCAGGCTCAAGGGAGGGAACCAGGGACAGGCTCGCCAAAAGCCCAGGGACCATGAGAAGCGAACAGGTGAGGAAAGAGTGCGCCTGCCAGTGAGTGACCTGCTCAAGGCCAGGCCAGGACTCGGACTCGGGTGGACTCACAGCCAGGTCTTTCTCTCCCTTCTCTTGGGGCAGAACCTCTTCGACAGCATCAAGAGCGAGCCCTTCTCCATTCCTGAGGACGATGGCAATGACCTCACTCACACCTTCTTCAACCCAGACCGGGAGGGCTGGCTGCTCAAGCTGGGTAAGAGGCCGACAGACGCACGTCATCACATGTCCACTCACGCACGCAGGCACATGTCATCGCAGGCACTCACGCACACGCGGGCACACGTCATATGCACACTCATACATCACCTCATGTGCACAGGCACACAGCTGACACGAGGCTTGCATGCAGCCTGGGAGAGGGAGTTGCACAGCCCCAGGTCTCCTGCCCCCAGTGCCGTTGTCTGCCTCCTCCATCCATTTGTCTGTCCTGAGAATGAAGGGAACCAGAGGAGGAGGGCTGAGCTGTAAGTGGGGCGGGAGGCAGACAGAGTCATTGACAAACACTTCAGCAGTTCTGTTTCTACCTCCCCAGAGGAATGGGGAGAAATGGGGTTCACAGTGGCCCCTCTTCATACGTGGTTATGAGGATTACCATTGGTTCAGAACCCACGGAGCTCAGGCAAGGTGCTGTCCCGCCCACGGCCCAACAGTGAAGTCAGGGATCTGCCTGAGGCCACACAGCCAGCCAGGGGCAGATTTGATGGAGCAGAGGGTTAGGAAGTGGGGGGAGGAAGGGTGACAGGATGTGGCTTGGGAGAGGCTGCCTTCAAGCTGACTGGAGGCAGGGAGGGCCTGCACCCTGCAGAGAGCAACTGGGATGGGTGCTGCAGTAGGGGTGGCTGCAGAGTCCAGCAGGGGAGCCCCAGTGCCTGGCCATCTTCCCCTGCCTCCCACACACACTCCCAGAAGCCTCTCCAGCGGGGACAGCCCAGGCGGGGCCAGCGCCTGCAGGGCAGGTGGGGACAGATGCCTCATCCTGAAGCAGGGGTCTTAGCCTGGCTCACCTCCAGCAACACTGAGCCTCCAGCACCTCCTGTCCCCCCAGCCCCATGCCAGTCCTGCCCAGTGCCCCAGGAGACCCCGAGCCCTCCGACTCTCCACACCACACCCCAGTCCATCCTCCTCCAGAGACTCAGCCTCCTGTCCTGCTCCAGCCACGTACTGTCTGCCCCTGAGAAGCTCTAAGTCACAAATCCCAACTTGGATGGGAGAGGGGGCCTCAGAGTCACACAGCCCTTAAACCCCAGCTCCTCCACCCAAGTGCCGATGGTCAGGTTTTCAGCCTCTGTAGCTGTAAGATGGGGATAATGATCACTGGGAGGGTTAAATGTGCAGCAAAATAGCCAAGAGTTGGGCTCCGGAACTAGGACACCGGGGTTCAAATCCCAGCTCTGCGGCTGAACCTCGGGCAGATGATTTTAACCTCTCCATGACTCAGTTTCCCCATCTGTAAAATGGGGTTCACGATGGTCCCCTCCTCATACATGGTTATAAAGATGAATAATATTTTTTAAAACCTCTAGCACAGTGTCTGGCAAGTGAAGGATGAAATGCTCAGCACAGTGCCAGGCAGGGAGCAGGCTGAGGAATGAAGCAACTGCTGAGTGACGGTAGCCAGAGAGAGCAGGGAGTGGCCATTCCTAGGACCACACCTGGGACCTGATCACAGAGGTGACCTGAACACCAGCTCAAGCAGCTCCAGGGAAACCCCGGGGGTGATGGGAGCTACTAAGGTTCTTGTTTGAGAGAGGGATCAATGTCGGGGGAGGGGCAACAGAGGAGGGTCAGGGCACTCAGCTGGGGGTCCAGGGGAGAGCATCTGTGTCAGCGGCCCAGGAGGACTGACCTGCTTGCTACGCTGGCCTCCCACAGGGGGCCGCGTGAAGACGTGGAAACGGCGCTGGTTCATCCTGACCGACAACTGCCTCTACTACTTCGAGTTCACCACAGTGAGCAGGGTCCCCTGGGCCCTCCCCTGCCCCCGCCTCTCCCTGCACAACCCCCTTCCCAACTCCCACTAGCAGTCGAATAACAGCTTTGGATCCTTTGAGATGATTTGGTTCCCCTCTACACCCATTTTACAGATGGGAAAAACCGAGGTACAGAGAGGAGAGGCTGGGCTTAAAGCTGGGCCTCCTGACCTCTGGCCAGAGCTCTTCACATGCCACTCCTACCTTCCACCCCCATGCTGGACAGTCTCAGAAGACTTCAGCACGCTCTTCCTTGGGTTGGGAAACCCCCCATGTTTATGTCCTGCCTTGGGCCTCAAGGTCTGCTTCCTGCCCCTGCCCCTGCCCCTGCCCTTCCTTCCCCTCTCCCTGTAGGACAAGGAGCCACGGGGAATCATACCCCTTGAGAACCTCTCCGTGCAGAAGGTGGACGACCCCAAGAAGCCAGTAGGTGTCCAGGTGGGGGGGTCCCCAAGGCTGGAGCCACTGGAGAATTTCCTAAACTGGGTGTGGGGAGAGGGCCTGAGGCTGGGCTCCCTGGAAGCCAGGCTGTGCCCCTCCCACCTTCCGTGGAGCTCAGGGCTGCCCTTCTCTCCCTCCTGGGGCCATGAACAGTGGGAAGAGGTCAATGTCAGTCCAAGGGCGTCATTGTCCTCACTTGTTCCATAGACCCCGACTGGCTGGATGACCCTGAGTAAGCGCTGCTCTGTTCAGAACCTCAGCTAGCTCATGTGTCACATGGGGACTTCAGGGAGGATGGTGGATTCAGGAGCCTGGCACAGAGAGTGCTCAGTGTGGGGGGAGCAGCTCCTGCCCCTTGGCCTGTCATGGGGTGGGACTGCCACGCTGGACAAGGACACCAACGTGTGGGCGTCTCTGAGCCTCCTGGAGAGCACACTCAGCCTCCCTCTCTCCCCACCCTGCCCGGCCACCTCCCCAGTTCTGCCTGGAGCTCTACAACCCCAGCTGCCGAGGCCAGAAAATCAAGGCCTGCAAGACTGACGGCGACGGCAGGGTGGTGGAAGGCAAGCACGAGTCCTACCGCATCTCAGCTGCCAATGCCGAGGAGCGCGACCAGTGGATTGAGGCCATCCGGTAAGGGGTGTCCAGCTTCGGGGGCGGCTCCCCGTCACCTTCCAGAAGGCCCTGCTGCTTTGAGGTGTTGCTTCCTTGTGTGTAAAGGGGCCTAACTCCAGCCTCTCCCTCCTGTTTCTGGCCTGCAAATTCCTTCCACCTGTATTCCATAGGCACGTCCTGTGTGCCCGGCACCAGGCCAGGCCCCAGGACACAGGGAAGGGGGAAGTGGGTGGGGTTCATGGGAGAATAGATCACAGAGTTTCACATAAAGTTCTTGCCCTGCCCTTGCCCGGGCACTGCTCTTGTTGGCATCATGGTCCAAAGTAGCCAGGGAAGGACCTGGTGGGGGTGGAGGAAAGGGCTTTCAAGCTAAACTTCTAGGTAAAAGAACTGGTGTGGGCAATCAGCAGACGGCCCACCTGCACCGCCCTCGAGTCCAGGTGAGGCTGGGCAGGGTGGGAGCCGGAACTGCTGAGCATGGCAAAGCCACAGTCACTGTGGTGAAGAGCTTCCATTTCTCCTGGGGCACTGGGGAGCCACAGACTGTTAAATAGGGAGGGGTGGCTAGGTGAGGAAGGCCAAAGTGTAGGGTCTGGTTCTGTGGTGCCAGCGACAGGAGAGACACAAGGAAGACGTACCTGGTAAAGGGCAAAATGGCAAACCTGCTCAGGGCTTGACTCTGAGCCAGCCCAAGATACTGGCGAGAGGAGGCCTGGTGGCAGAGGAAGGCAGGACGGGTTGCTGGGCAGGGCCCGTGTCTCAGGGACTTTCAGGATCTTTTCACCGGGGCCTTGCAGCGGAGCAGGCTGGGAGGCTGCCAGGCAGACCTATTCTCACCTCCGTCATACAGATGTGGAAACTGAGGCCCAGAGAGGGGAGGGACCTGCCCAGGGCCACAGAGCCAGGGACAGAGCAGAGTCCAACAAGCAGGTCTATTGGCTTCTCCCCAAGCTCTTCTCATCACCTTCCGAAGGTCTCCAACAGGAGCCTGGAGAGGGGTCCAGAGACATTTGGGCACAGAATTCCCAAGGCTGTCAGCTCCTGACCGGAGCCCTCACCCTCTCTGGCCCTGCCCATGGGACACTGGGCTAAGCTAGCAAGGCTGGACTGACCCTGGCACAGCCCTTGCTGGGGCCATCTGGTTATTGTTTTTGTTTTTGAGACGCAGTCTCACTGTGTCACCAGGCTGGAGTGAGTGGCGTGATCTCGGCTCACTGCAACCTCCGCCTCCCGGGTCGAAGCAATTCTCCTGCCTCAACCTGCCGAGTTGCTGGGACTACAGATACCCACCACCACGCCAGGCTAATTTTTTCTTTGAGACGGACTTTCGCTCTTGTTACCCAGGCTGGAGTGCAATGGTGCGATCTCGGCTCACTGCAACCTCCGCCTCCTGGGTTCAGGCAATTCTCTTGCCTCAGCCTCCTGAGTAGCTGGGATTACAGGCACGCACCACCATGCCTAGCTAATTTTTGTATTTTTAGTAGAGACGGGGTTTCACCATGTTGACCAGGATGGTCTCGATCTCTTGACCTTGTGATCCACCCGCCTCGGCCTCCCAAAGTGCCACCGCGCCCGGCCCCAATTTTTTGGATATTTAATAGAGGCAGGGTTTCTCCATGTTGGCCAGGCTGGTCTTGAACTCCTGACCTTGTGTTCTCGCATCGGCGCAGTGACTCACACCTGTAATTCCAAAATGCTGAGATTACAGACGTGAGCCACGGCACCCCGCCTGTTGGGGCCACCTGGCCTTTCTGCTGCTGCAGAGCAGGCTGACACATCCCTGGGAGTCTCATGACTCTAACAGAAGCCCTGGAAGACCAGACTCCCTTGACGGCCAGTCCAGCCTTGAAATCACTCCTCTTACTCTCACTCTAGAGCCAGCATCACCCGCGTCCCCTTCTACGACCTGGTCTCCACTCGGAAGAAGAAGATCGCCAGCAAGCAGTGAGATTCCTGGAGGCAGCACTGGGGGCCGGTCATCCTGGGAGTCCCGCAGCCTGCAGTGCCTGGACCCACCTCCCACCCAGTGCACTCTTTTGGGCCACAGACATCACTGTGCTCCCCCGTTACCTCAAGCTGACTCTTGATGGGAAAGCAGAGGTCAGGAGGGTGGGTGGGGGGTACAGTGGGCTCAGACTCCAGCAATGAGGTCCCCCGCCCTACGTGCACTACCAGAAGGGGTGAGGAGAGCAGCCCGAGGAAAACCAGCCCAGAACGCAGCATCCTTTCTTCTCTCTGGGCCTCAGTGCCCTCAGCTCTGAAGCTCTTTGCGCCTTGAGATGCTGTCAGGCCTCAAAGTAGGAGGAGCTGTGGGGTCCCCGAGTGTTTCCTCTCCTTGGCAAGGCTCTTCCTTCCACTCAGGTTCTCTCTGCCAGCCCCTCCTGTGTCCTCAGGTTGGGCTTGACCCTCCCTGCCTGAGCAGAGCTCAGTGCACACGGCTCAGACCCACAGACAGGACCCCGGGACAGAACCACAGGACCTGCCCTAGGAGCCCAGGCTCCATTGGCTCAGTCCCAGCTTCGTCTCTGACTCGCTGTGTGCCCTCTGCCAAGTCATGCCCACTCTCTGGTTCTTGCAAAGCTGTAGCGTTGGGACTGGAAACGTCTTGGGCCCTGCCAGCCCTGTGCCCAGCTTCCAGCTGGAGATGGCAGCCCTTGTTTACAGAGCCAGGGCAGACTCTGGATTCAAGGCTGACGGGGAGAGAAGAGCACTATGGACTCCATCTTCCAGGGTGTCCTTTCGGGGAGAGGAGCAGGAGGGACCCTCAAGAAAATGACGGAGAACATCCCAGACAGATGGGATTCAAGCAAGACGAGTGCTCCATCCAAGAAGCCAAGAAGGGAGAGTTTTGCGCACTATGGTTACCAGGAGGGCTGCCTGGAGGCAGTGGCTGAGCCAGCAAGTAACAGAGCCCCTGCTTAGAGAGGCAGAGTCTTGGCCACGGCTTCCCTGCGCTGACCAACAGTCCCATGGTGATGAGGGGCAGCCTGCAGGTTGCAGCATCTCGGGACCCTCTGCAGCAGTATCGTCAGAGTAGAGCTGACTTCCAGTATCCAGGCAGCCAGCTCTGTCTCCAGGGAGCCCTGGCTGGGAGGAGGAGTCCACTAACAGGAAGCACTTCTCATCCCCTCACACAGGCCTGGGGGAGCCCCTGGAGGGAAATTCCTTGGCAGGGGAGCAGGAAATGTGGCTGCCCCTGCCCCACTGCCAGCCTGAGTCAGCGAGGAAGCAGGTGGATTCCTTGGAGGAACCGCAGCTCGCCAAGCACCCCTCCCCGTCCCCACCCACCCCCATATGTGCACACATTCCACAGGCTCAGGATGGAGTAGCTGCCTTGTGAGGTGGTGAGACTCCTGTCTCTGTAGGTGTGCAAGCACCTAGTAGTGACATTGTACCAGACAAGGTCTGGGTTGGGCATCTACAGGAGGAGACTTTGCAGGACAGTTCAGGACATCCACAGATCCTTGTCAGCCCCTGAACTAAGCCCCGCCTGGTGAAGCCACTGCCGGGGACATGCAGAATCCTGGCTCCTCCAAGTACAGCAGCCCACGTGGGTACAGGTGCACTGTCTGTGAGCACTGACTGTGTCCCAAGTTCTGGGCAGACCTTGGGTGGGGACACAGCAGCCCTGTGGCTCTCATAACTCCTGTGCCCGCAGGCTCCCAGGAAACCCCATGTCCTCAGCCTAAAATATACTAGAAATACTCCCCTGGGATCCTGGTGTCCACACCACCCTCTCTTCTTTACCATACTCCTTTCCCTGCTTCTTAGTCAACATTTCCATTCTGCACTCTATTCACCAATGCTTGTTCTGATGCTGGAATTGTGAGGCCTCTCTTCTTGATCAGTCCAACTCCTACTCATCCTTCAAAACCCAGAAATGCCCCCTTCTTTGTGAACTTTTCCTAGTGCCCCCCAAGCAGGCACTCCCTCACTCCTGGTGCTGCCACAACACCCACCCACCCACCTGTCCCTCAAATACTTGTGTCTGCTCTATGCCATAATCTAAGGAGGCGAAGCAAAGTTAAGCCTAGCCCCTGGCCTTGACCCCTTGCAGACCTCAAGCCCTGGGACTTTGGACTGACTTTCCTCAACCTTTCTCTTGGCCTTGATGGTGGAGGAGGCAGAGGTGACGACAGGTGATAAACACACAGGATGGACAGAGGGGAGAAGGGCAAGGGCTGTGAGCCCAGAGGCAGTGCCCAGAGGCATGGTCTATGGATTTTTTTGAGAGTGATAAAAATGTTCTAAACTTGATTGTGGTGATGAGCAAGTCTATGAATATGCTAAAAATCACTCAATTTGACATTTTAAATGGGTGATTTATATGGCATGTGAACTATATCTCAAGAAAGCTGTTAAAAATATCATACTGGTTGAGCCTAGTGGTATTTTTAAAGTATGAATATAGGCGGGGCGTGGTGGCTCACACCTGTAATCCCAGCACTTTGGGAGGCCGAGGCGGCGGATGACCTGGGGTCAGGAGTTCAAGTCTTAAGTATGATGTATGATACACCTACGTATAAATGAAAATGGCATGCACAATGACACTTTGCCATGGGAACTGTACTGGAAGGTTTATGAAAATGTGAACTTGAACCTACAATTGTGTTGTTAGTGACTATAAGCAGCAGTGCTAAATTTATTGTACTTGATGAATGAATGTATTTAGTCTAGTCACAGTTACTTTGGTTTAAATGCATGGGTCGGCCAGCATGGCGGCTCACGCTTGTAATGCAAGTGCTTTGGAGGCCAAGGCGGGTGGATCACCTGAAGTTGGGAGTTCAAGACCAGCCTGACCAACATGGTGAAACCCCGTCTTTAAAAAAAAAATTAAATGCATATGTCTTTAGGGTATTAGTTTTCACACTGCTATAAAGACCCCAAACTGGGTAATTTATAAGGAAAAGTGACTTAATTGATTCACAGTTCCACAGGGCTGGGGAGGCCTCAGGAAACTGACAGTCATGGTGGAAGGAGAAGAGGCACATCATACATGGTGGCAGACGAGAGAGAGTGAACGAGCTAAGGGAGAAGAGCCCCTTATAAAACCATCAGATCTTGTGGAAACTCACTCACTATCATGGGAACAGTACAGGGAAACCGCCCCCATAATCTGATCACCTCCCACTAGGTCCCGCCTTCAACACGCTGGGGAGTGTATGGATCACATTTGGAGATGAGAGTCGGGTCAGGACACAGAGCCAAACCGTGTCAGAGTTTTAAAAAATGTATTTGTAATTTGTACTCTTGGCAGGGTATTCTTGGACTGCAGGGGTTACTGTCAATGTGTGATTCGTGTTTTTATTTTATAGAATCATCTAATGTGGTGTACAATTTTTATAAGTGATAGATAATTATAATAATGTGTATTTGACAACCTATTAAAATATTTTGCATGGAACTTCTTTTATTAATTGTAACATGCTAACAAACTGGTAGTGGTTTAAAAATAACTAATTCAACAGCAACAACAAAAGAAAAAAGGTTAAAAGTAGACAGTTTTATGGGAAATCCAGAGAGTTAGCAGGTGGTTGGGAAGCATTGTGACAAGCAGAACAACTGGAGGAATCAGGAAGCCAAAAGCCTCTGGACCACAGTCTGCCCAAGCAGGCCCCTATTCAAGCCCCAGTGAGGTCCGACCCTGCTTAGATTTTAGGCCGGGGCATCCTCAGTCTTCTTTGGTGCCCCAGGGCTGCTAGCACGGACACACTTGGTCATGCTCCAGGACGTGGCAGAGGCAGAGGCGTGCTGGAGTGGGGAAGGGAAATTTAGTGTCAGGGGATGGTTAGAAAGCTTTTCAACAAGCAGAAAAAATTGGAAAGGGAACTGGAAGCCAAAAGCCTCTAGCCCCCATCAACCAACGCAGTCCCCCATTCGAGCACAAGTAAGGTCCAACCCTACTTAGAATTCGGGCTGAGGTGCCCCCAGGCTGCAATGGCATTAAGTGACTTCAGAGACAGACCCCTTTCAGGGAGGTCCTGGGCCACAGCAGGGGTGCAGCCAGGTGGAAAAAGGCTGGCCAGAGTCGGGGGTGGTTGATAAGCATTGTGACAATCAGGGTAAAGATGGAAGGGAGCAAGAAGCCAAAAGCCTCCAGCCCCTTTTCCGTCCAGAGGGTTCCCAATCACAACCCAAGCCAGGACTGATCCGGCTTAGCTTCTGGGCTGAGGTGCCTTCAGGCTGCTATGGCACATGTCTGCTGAGACGAACTTTTATGGGAAGATCCTAGGCAGAGACTGTCTTGCAGGCTGATGGAAATGAGGGAGCCAGGGTCAGAGGGCAGTTGGGAAGTGTTGAGAAAAGAAGAAAGTGAAAAGGGAGCGGGAACGGAAAAGCCTCCATCCCATGGTCTCCCCAGGAAGCTCTCCATCCAGTCCCCAGCCAGCCTGACCCTTCTTAGCTTCTGTGCTGGGGCCCACTTAGTGTCCTGTGGCACCTGTCCTGAGGACCTTCACAAGAACGTCACAGGCTGCTGTGGGGACACAGGCAGGTGAAAAGGAGGGGACTAGTGAGTCAGGGGGATTGGGAGGCATTGGGACAAGTGAAGAAAAGCCGAAGAAAGGGGAAAGCCAAAAGCTTCCACCTCCTGGTCTCCCCAGGTGGTCCCCTGTCCAAGCCCCAGTCAAGCCTGATACTTTCTGGGCTGAGGCACCCTCAGGCTGTAACAGTGCCAGGGGGCTGGTGGAACAGAAACCTACAGAAAGGTCCCTGTCTTTGGCAGGGGTGCTGGTAGCCAGGAAACTTATAGAAACCCAGAGTTTCAAGAGGCAATTAAGAAGGTTTGTGACAAGCAGAACAACTGATGTGCCCTGAGAAAGCTGTGGCACCAGGGATCTTACAGACAGAAGCAGGAGAGAGCGGGAAGGAAACAGAAAGCCACAGCCTCCAGCCCATGTCTTCCCAGGCAGTCCCCCATCCAAAACCCACCCAAGCCAGACCCTGCTTAGCTTCCAGGCTACGATGACCTAGGGCTACTATGGTGCCTGGGGGCTGCAGAGTCAGACCCATACAGGGAAGACCCTGGCTGCAGCAGGGGTGTAGGCAAGTGGGAAAGAAAGAACAGAGAGTCAGGGTGGTTGGCAAGCATTGGGACAAGTGGAGAAAGCTTGAAGAAGGCAAAAGGCAAAAGCCTCCAGCCCATGGTCTTTACAGGGAGTCCCCCATCCAAGTCCCATCCAAGCCCCAGCCAGGCCTGCCCCTTCTTAGCTTTTGGGCTGCAGTGCCCTAGGGCTGTTATGGCGCCTGGAGACTACTGAGACAAACCCACACGGGGAATTTGTGGGCCTTGGAAGGGGCATAGGCAAGCAGGAAATGGGAGACAGAGTCAGGGGCAGTTGGGAAGCATTGGGAAAAGCAGGGGAAATCTTTAAGAAGGTGAAAAGGAAAAAGACTCCAGCCCCCGGTCTTTGCAGGCAGATCCCCATCCAAGACTCTGCCAAGCCTGACCCTGCTTAAGTTCTGGGGCCCTGCCCACAGGCTTTCCTGTTACAGCCCTGGACTTCTGTATGGGGGTTTGCCCTTACAGGCCTCACAGGCCATAGCTAAGCATGATCATGACTGAATGAGGCTTGAATGGGAGACCACTTGGGGAGACCAGGGCTGGAGGCTTTTGGCCTCCTGCTCACTTCCCGCATTCCCCTGCTTTTGGCACTGCAGGAAGTGGGGGAATGAGAAAAGGAGCTGGATGCAAAAACTGTCAGCCCCGGGTCTCCCCTTGTGGTCCTTCCTACAAGCCAAAGCAAGGCCTGACCCTGCTCAGCTTCCAGGCTGGGGAGCCCTCAGGCTGCTATGTCACCTGGTAGCTGACGACAGGGCCGCAGTGGGGGTGCAGGGGGTCAAAAAGAAAAGGACAGAGAGTTAGGGTTTAGTTGGAAAGCGTTACAACACGCAGAAGAAAGTGGGAAGGGAGCGGGAAGCCGAAAGCTTCCAGGCCCTTATCTCCCCAGGCGGTCCACGATCCAAGTCCCAGCCAGTCCCTACCCTGCTTAGCTCTGAGCTGGGGTGACCTCAGGCTGCTACTGCACCTGAGGAGCTGCCATGACAGACACCCACAGGGAGGTCCCTGGCCACAGTGGGGAATAGGTGGGATGAAATGTGAGGGCCAGAGAGTTAGCAGCTTGTTGGGAAGCATTGCAACAAGCAAAAAAACGAGAGGTCGACAGAAGCCAAAAGCCTCAGCTTCCAGTCTCCCCAGCAGTCCCCATCCAAGCACCATCAAGGCCCGACTCCACTTGGCTTCTAGGTTGAGGCATCCTTGAGCTACCATGACACCCAGTGGCTGCTGGGACAGAGCCCCTCAGGGATGCCCCAGGATGTGGAGGGGGCACAAGCGTGCGGGAGTAGGAAAGTGACAGCCTGAGTGTCAGGAGAAGGCTGGAAATCTTTGCGACAAGCAGGGAAATTGGGAAAAAAACTGGAAGCAAAAAGCCTCTAGCCCCTGTCTCCCTAGGCAGTTCCCCATCCAAGCCCAAGCTGGGATGTATCCTGCTTAGCTTCTGGACTGAGGCACCCACAGGCTGCAGTGGCTATTGGTTACTTCAGAGGCAGCCCCATTCAGGGAGGTCCTGGGCCATGGCTTGGGTGCTGGCAGGCTGAAAAGGGCTGGCCAGAGTCAGGGGGTATTTGGGAAGGGTGGCCACATTTGAGGGAAGGAGGGAAAGGAGCCAGAAGCCAAAAGCCTCTAGCCCCCTATACCATCTGGCCATCCTCCATTCAAGCCCCAGCCAGGGCCAACCCTGCTTAGCTCCCGGGTTGGTGTGCCCTGAGAAAGCCATGGCACCAGGGATCTTACAGGGAGGTCCCAGGCCACAACAGGCTTGCAGGCTGATGGAATATGGGGCCAGAGTCAGGGAGCAGTTGAGAAGCATCTGGACAAGTGGGAAAAAGAGAGAAGGGTGTGGGAAAAGAGCCTCCAGCCCCTGGTCTCCCCAAGCGGCCCCCCATCCAAGCCACAGCCAGGCTCAACCATGCTTAGCTTTCACACGGGGGCACATTCAGGGTGCTATGGCACCTGAGGACTGCTGGGAGGACCTTCAGAAGAACGTCCTGGGCTGCCAAGGGGTGCAAGCTGGCAGAAAAGGTGGAGCCAGTGAGTCAGAGGGTGGTTGGGACAAGTGGGGCAACGTGTAAGAAACGGGGAAGGCAACAGTCTCCAGCTGCTGATCTCCCCGGGTGGTCCCCCATCCAAGCGCCAGCCAAGCAAGACCCTGTGTAGCCTCCGGGATGTGGCACCCTAGGGCTGCTACGGTGCCTTGGGACTGCCGATACAAACCCAAATGGGGAAGGCCTGGGACAAGGCGTGGGTCTAGGCAAGTGGGAAAAAAAGATGCAGATTCAGGTTCGGTTGGGAAGCCCTGGGACTAGTGGAAGAAAGCTTGTTGATGTCTGAAAGAAAATGCCTCCAGCACCTGCCTTTCCAGGGAGTCCCCATCCAAGCCCTGCCAGGCCTGACCCTGCTTAGCTTCTGGGCTGTGGTGCCCTAGGGCTACTCTGGCACCTAGGGGCTGCTGAGACAAACCCACCTGGGGAGGTCCAAGGTCTTGGTGTGGGTGTAGGCAAGAGGGAAAGCGTTGGGACAAGAGGGAAAAGCTTGACGAAAATGAAGAGGCAAAAGCCTCCAGCCCCCAGTGTTTCCAGGTGGTCCCCCATCCAAGTCCCTGCCAGGCTGGTCCTTGCTTAGCTTCCTGGCCCCCACCTGCCGGTGTTTTCACTGCAGCCTGGTACCTCTTTGTAGTGGTTTGTACTGGCAGGCTCCGTGGGCCCCTGCAGCCTGAGGGTGGCTCATCCTGGAAGCTGAGCAGGGTTTGGCTTAACTGAAGCTTGGATGGGGAACCACCTGGGGAGATCAGGGCTGGAGGCTTTTGGCTTCCCGTTCTTTTCCCACTTTCCTCCTCTTATTGAAACACTCCTTAACCACCCCTGGACTCTCTGGACACCATATCACGCCCAACGCATACTCAGACCTCCCCGTGGGGGTCCATCCCAGCTGACTCCAGTTGGCATAGCAGCCTGAGGGTGCCCCAGCATGCAAGCTGAGCAGAGTAGGGCATGAGGGACCACCTTGGGAGTCCGGTGGCTGGAGACTTTTGGACTCCTGCTAACTTCCTGCATTCCTTCACTTTTGACAACGGTTTCCAACTGCCCTCTGACTCCCTAATCTCCCATTTCCTCCCGCCAGTGCCCCCACCTTGAACTGCAACTTCTCCGTGGGGAGTTGTTCCAGCAGCCTCCCATCACCATAGTAGACTGAGGACCCCCAGCCCAGAAGCTAAGCAGGGTTGGGCCTAACAGATGCTTGGATTGGGGTACCACGTGGAATGACCAGCCTTCGAGCTTTTTGGTTTCCTGCTCTTTTCGACCTTTTCCCCCTTGTAGCAACATTTCTCAACCACACCCTGACCT